AAACCAAAACCACCCCCCCCCCCCCTTCCTGAAGGATCATGTACAGAGCCATTACAGAAATAAATAAAATATAAATATTAAATATATTTAAATAGAGAACAATTCTTTTAAATTATAATAATATTATATAATAATAATATTTTTTTTCTTTGGATGAAATACATTCATTCAGCATTAGTGAAAGTGCACTGGAACCAGATCAAAAATCACCCCACGTTTAGAGGAATATCGTGTTGACTTCATTGTTTATTTGACATTTATTAGACAGGACAGTGAAGAGGGGGTATCGGATTTGGACACGAGTCCAGCCCTGAATCTGTCTCTGTAGAGGCACTACGGGCCTTAAATGTCAAGAGCAAGAACCACGGCTGACAACTTCCTAGCAATTTTATTCTAAGCGTGAAGTCAATTGAAAATAATGACCGTATTGAGGTCATTGGTGTTTGCAGCTGTGAGAGTGAAATACCTGTTTCTTGCTGTACTGTGGCCCATCTCAGCCAGGCTGGACCACACTGGCTCCACGTTCTTATTCACCTCTGTGACTCCGATGTCTCCGAGGCTGCTGGGATCTTTTCGGCGGAGCAGGTCGTTTACCTTGGCTCCCATGGCTTTGCCCAAGTTCAGGGCGTTTTTTAGGTGCTGGCTGCCTCCTGTCTTTGATCCTGCAGATGTGTCTGTGGAGGCGCTGCTGCCGGCCTGACGAAAGCTCAGCTTCGGCTGCTCCACAGCGTTCCAGTTCTCAAACATGCTTTGGTCCACTAAGGAACAAAATAACAAAAAGGTTTTCAGACAAAGGGAGGCACTGGGGAACTTTTAATGAAAACATTCATACCACATTAACATTTAAAGGTGAGCTGAGACTTCAGAAGCTTTTGTACAGACTTAAATGCATGACTGTTTAAAACTGAAAACTGAAGAGTTTTCATTTAACCAAATTGTTCAACAAACTCAATATTGTTATGCTTTATGTTTTCTAAGATCTGTAAGATTAAATGTAGGGATGCATTTTCATGTTTTGGCTGATAACTGATGAACTATTTTATATAAATACATTGGTAACACTTTACAATAAGTTAGTTCCATTAGTTAACAAACTAACACTGAAAAATACTTCTAAAGCATTTATTAAATTTAGTTAATGTTGATTCCAACATTTATTTATTCATTATTAAAATGAAAAGTTGTATCTATTAATAGACCTGAGCTAACATGGACTAACAATGAACAAGTGTATTTTTTATTAACTAATGTTAACAAATATTAATACTGTAACAAATGTATTGCTCATTGTTAGTTAATGCATTAGATATAGTAAACAAATGGAACCTCATTGTAAAGTGTAACCAATAAATTCATAATAATAAATCATTCTAAATGCTACAAGTGGGTTTAAGCATCATAACCTTCTAAAATACATGAAAACTGGATACTCATTTTGATTAAAAACAAACAAAATAAATCAAATGATGGTCAAAATTTTATACATCAAATGTTGAACAATAGACAAGTTCATGCAAAAAAACAAAACAACAACAACAACAACAAAAAACCCACACAATGACACCAACATTGGAAGAAAATGGCCAACAAAATAAAAAATATTAAAAAAACAGCATTTGACAGGTCACAACAAGTCATGTTTCTTACCTCAGAACCATTATTTCATGGTTGGCATTTGAGTGACAAAGAGAGCATAATTTATTGTTTGCAGCTAACAAAACAGTATATTAATGCTCATACATGCAACTAGAATAGTATTTATAGGCCAATTGATATCACAATGTTAAAAAAACACACCAAGCTTTTACCTTTTAAAAGGTGACTGAAGAGAGGGAGACTGACAATGACAAAGACGGAAAGATTTGCAATTTGCCAACAAAGGCAGCCCTGACACGGTGTTCTATTTCAACTTCAGCTTCAATTTAGGCCATTCAAATCTGTTTACAATAAAAGCTGTATATTAGTCTGGCTCTAATCAATTGTGATTTTAAGAAACTCTTGAAGGCATTGATGTGGCATAGTTATTTCCAGCTTGTTAAACTCAAATAGTTTCAACACTTGCTCATGGAAGAGTAAGAATTCTCATTAGCTTGTGACAGTCTCTCAGCGACGACAAACACGGGCCACATACGAGACTAGAGAGGCTTTTCCACACAAATATTTGACAAAGAGAAGTTATTTTGATGCTGACAATGTCTTGGCTCTGCAGGCAAGGCAAACAGATGAATGAGGGAAATGTGTGTGCCAAAAACAGCATGCTGTTGTCATGGTAATCAGGGGAAAAAATGACAACAAAAAACCCACAACTTACCATTTGCGACGGGTCTGCTTTTCTTTTCCAGACATGCCACTGGGTAACAAGACCAGCTAAAATCATTCACAGGATTGATCTTCAAAATATGCGTCATCACACTGAATTAAATTCGCAATGAAGCTTAATCTAGCACAACATGCTGCTATAATGAGTACTGGAGAGAAATGAGCAGGAGAAAAGAAGGTACTCATCTGTGGTTTCATGTGATTGTATCATTGCACATATTGATCTGTTGTGGCACACCAATAGGGCCATCTGACATCTGAATGAAATAATTGATGCCCATACTACTAAGCACTTCACTGACTGACATGATATTTCATCTGCTAATGATGCAATACCCAGACTAGTTCAAATATGTTTGTGAGTAATATCAGCCTCAGACGGGCCACCCACGGCCCACCCACATTTCCTTCACTGACCGCCTGATGCATATCGCACACAAAACTAAAAAACACTCAATTAGATTGTCTGACTGCAAAGCAACTTAAAATCATTTTTAAATATAGCTGCACGCAGCAATGATATGAATATTGTGTGGATGTACAAAACTACCAAATTTTGCTATAAGTTTGATCGCAACAATCATTGCTGTTACTAGATTACATGTCATTAACTAACTGCATGATTTTTACTGTACATTTCTGCCATATGGACATCACCTTGCTACTCCTAAATATAATGTAGAAACTTTAATTTTCTGTAATGCTGCTTTGCATCGATTTGTATCGTGAGAAGCGCTATACAAATAAACTTGAAACTTGAATGTGTGAAACACCACATGATTACAGAGGCGTTAAGCTCATTAGCGTCAACTAGTGGCCAAATTCTTAAATTCTGACAGACCTTTAGTCCTATGAGTCGAACATGCCCACCGAGTTTCGTCCAGATCGGCCTCCATTAACTAATAATTAACTAATAGGCACTCAAAATTCATTGGCCGATGGCGGCCATTTTTTTGAGACACACAAATGTCCTCGACACTTGCTGCATTTTGGACAAAGACACTGCATACCAATTTTTGAGTCGATCGGACTAACTTATGCGTAGTTATAGCCGTTTTTATGTTTTTTTTCGTTATAGCACCACCAAGTGGCCAAACTCCACTTTTTTTTACTGTGACCTCAGATTGAGCTCTTATACATCTCTTTCCATTTAAGAGTTATAGGCGTTTTAGTAAAAGGGGTTCCGCCCCTTACGAACACATCCCATCGCGGCAAAACCTAGGATTAGCTCGCAAAAGCAGGTTTTTAAAAAGTTCGAAATACCCCAAAATTTCATGATCGAATCCGAGGCATGTGTTTTGTTGGTCAAGAGCCAAGGATTCCAACGAACTTGAGCCTGTGACTAACGGTTTAGGAGTTATGAGTAATTTCGTACTTTTGATCGCTGTAGCGCCCCTGTCAGGCTGATTGGGGCGAGCCTTGGTGACGTTATAGATGGTGTGAGTACTACTATCCCTCAAAGTTTCAAGTCTCTACGACTTATGGTTTGGTCTGCCCGGTCAGTTTTAGCTGAAGAATGGTGATCTTTGGGCATTCTAACAATTACAATAGGGTTTCAGCGCTATGCTCTTGAACTCCTAAAAAGTATTTTTGTACAGCCTATTATTCTAGTATAATCCATTTCAGATTTATCTGTCCCAAAATTGCAACTAAAAACAAAGCAAGGTTGGTTGGGTTATATGTTATTCAGCCTCATCCTGTCTAAGTGGGTAGTTTTCGGTCAGAATACATGGAAACGGGACCAGACTTTATGCTGAAAATCTCAAGTATGGTTTTGTGAGACTAGATTTTGAGTGAGGAAGAGAGAAAGAAGGATGTATAGCAAATCATCAGCTTCCAATTTTGAGCGTGACGCAGTGCTCATTGGTTTTGATCCTTCTCCACAGGGCTGGACATTATCGTGTAACTCTAGGCTGCAGTTTAAAATACCTCACCGAGACTCCGCCACAGTAGCAAATGTTAGGAGGGCATCTGACACGCTGCTATTTTGGGCTGGTTTATGAGCTCCTGATGTGTCCCAGCAGGAAACCTCTGGACCAAACGCTGTCCAGCACACACATGCACGGGCCACATGGTACAGGGTTGCTGCTCTTTTTGACCATGAATTTCCATGACATTTCCAGCTGTTTGAGTTTAGTGCATGAAGACATAAAAAAAATCCTTTTACAGCATGAACTTACCATTTTTAACAAATTAAATATTTTAGTGTTTAATATATCTAAAACCTTAGAAATTTGAATTATTCTAGAAATTATAACAGCATATTATAAAATATATAAAAATATATACAATTCTTAAAATTATAATTATTTCAGAAATTATTATAATATAAAAGACCTATTTAAAAAGACCTATCCTATTTGATGTTAGTGACATGTTCTATAGGAAATACAATATGTAAATATAAATTATATCTTTTAGATATATCAAATATAAAAATACATTTATTATAATTTCAAAAATTCTAGAAATAATGATTCTAGACATTATAATTACAATAAAAAAACATTTGTACAAAGTCTTAGAAAAGACATATCCTTTTTAATATATATTGATGATATTTTTTAAATATTAAATATAATAAATAAATATAAACTATACATTTTTATGTAATATAATATAATATACTGTATAATATAATACAATATAATATATAAAAAATTATATTTGATTATAATAGTACTTTCTATAATACTAAATTATAATACAGTAAAATACTTTGTTTTTAAGTCTTAGAAAAGACATTCTATTTGATGTATAAATAAATGTAAATACATATGAAGACATTCATATATTCAGATATTTCTAGGTTTTCCATTACCCGATGGTAAAATCTTGTTCCGTTTTTAAGACTTCTCTTCTCTCAAGACCCTTATATTTATAAACCATATAAAATCTGGTCACTTTTTCATGTGGTTATTTTTGTATGTAATGACGCAATACATAATTTAATACAGAATCAAAAATGGACTGATTAAGAAAAGCCAAAAGCCTACTATCTCTACTTGGGACAAATTGGAGAATAACAATGAATAAATAAAGCAATTTAACCCATTATCTCCAAGTTAGATGACCTAGATGTTCAGGTCAGTAGATGGGTCAAACATCAATATTTAATTTGAACACCCTTTCTAGCATGAATCTTTAAATACAAGGGCAGAGGGATGGGAAAAAGAGTTAGCTCTGGATAACACATGATGAGAGGATCAAGGTGGACTAACTCGAAATGCACTTGCACCAACTGATTCCATGTTATCAACTCAATCATTAACAGAAATGAGGTGGAGCACCATAGTGGCACAGCGGCCCAGAATAAAAGCATCAATTTCAGGACTCCTAAATGAAAAGGGCAGAGAACTTCACAAGTAAACTGCACTGTTAGGACTATCCATTAGCTTTATCTCTATTGAACAGCACTGCTGGCTGACTAGTCTCCTTGGTACTGTAGATATACTGAAGCACATATAAGGGTAGAAAAGAAATAAATTCATAAAAATCCCCAAAAGAGCAACAAAAACAACACAACCCAAAACCGTAGATGGCATGGAAACTTTTCTGGTCAATAGCTATTTGTATGTTAAGCAGCGTGTTTAAACCTACAGCAGCACTTAAAAAAAAATGCATTGGCAAAAAATTTATTTTTGAAAGATGATAAATCTCAAAAAATGTCAGAACAGTCTTACAATTAAGGTGAGACCAAACAGCAGCACTGAACACATCAAAAATAGATGTGGAGTTGTTATTATGGCAATGTTCTGCTACTGGAGAGAAAAAAATAACAGTGAACATAACAGGAGACAATGCCCCCCATTTTCATTCGACTTCAAAATCTCAGATCAATAATTAATCAAAGGTTCCGACACATCAATGTCAAGCAGTAACATGCATGCAATGCAACTATCTGCAAGTTTAGCACTGATGAAATAAAGGGATTTGGAGCAAGTAGACGGTGATGCCAGATAATGACAGCTTTTATACTTGATCGACGGTCATGTGTCTTTGAAGAAATCATTAGAACCTGATTGGACTAACGGCGCGTAACGGCACATTCTGTGAAATATAGCTAATTAATTAATTTTTTTTAAGGGCAGTCTTTAATTTCATGGTGTGTCACCCTTGTGGGGCATAAAGGAGTTCAAATCAACTGAATTATATTGGAGTTCACTTTTTAACATGAAGGATTTTTTCCAGCCAAGTGCAGCAACCGTGCCCTGGATCTCCTTGGGTATCCTTGTAGGTCGTAATGTCTAATTTTGTAATCCTGACAGGAAATAGAATAAATACGGTGGCCCAGTAGTGCACAACACAACGCACAGGACTAATTTTGTTGTGCTGTGATAATTTCGTTGTGTTGCAGCTTGTTTTCATTGTGTTGTGGCTTGTTTTAGGTGTGTTGTTCT